AGAACTGAACTGATGGTTCTATGTTTCACCTAACTACAGGCCCGATATCATAGACCTGAACTGATGGTTCTATGTTCCACCTAGCTACAGGTCAAATATCATGGACATTCACTGAATGGTTCTATGTTCCAGATAGCTACAGGCCATATATCATAGACCTACACTGATGTTTTTATGTTCCACCTATCTACAGGCCAGATATCATAGACCTGAACTGATGGTTCTATGTTCCACCTAGCTACAGGCCAGATATCATAGACCTAAACTGGTGGTTCTATGTTTCACCTAGCTACAGGCAAGATATCATAGACCTGAACGGATGGTTCTATGTTCCACCTAGCTACAGGACAGATATCATAGACCTAAATTGATGGTTCTTTTTTTCAACTTACTACAGGCCAGATATCAAAGACCTGAACTGATGGTTCTATGTTTCACATAGCTACAGGCCAGATATCATAGACCTGAACTGATGGTTCTATGTTCCACCTAGCTACAGGCCAGATATCATAGACCTAAACTGATGGTTCTATGTTTCACCTAGCTACAGGTCAGATATCATATACCTTAATTGATGGTTCTTTTTTTCAACTTACTACAGGCCAGATAACATAGACCTAAACTGATGGTTCTATGTTTCACCTAGCTACGGGCCAGATATCATATACCTAAACTGATGGTTTTATGTTCCACCTAGCTACAGACCAGATATCAAAGACCTAAACTGATGGTTGTATGTTTCACCTAACTAGAGGCCAGATATCATAGACCTGAACTGATGGTTGTATGTTCCACCTAGCTACAGGCCAGATATCAAGGACCTAAACTGATGGTTCTATGTTCAAGCTAGCTACAGGCCAGATATCATAGACCTAAACTGATGGTTCTATGTTCCACCTAGATACAGGCCAGATAGGGTAGACCTCAACTGATGGTTCTATGTTCCACCTAGATACAGGCCAGATAGGGAAGACCTAAACTGATGGTTCTATGTTCCACCTAGCTACAGGCCAGATATCAAGGACCTAAACTGATGGTTCTATGTTCAAGCTAGCTACAGGCCAGATATCAAGGACCTAAACTGAATGGGTCTATTTTCCACCTAGCTACAGGTCAGATATCATGGACCTTCACTGAATGGTTCTATGTTCCAGATAACTACAGGCCAGATTTCATAGACCTAAACTGAATGGATCTATGTTCAACCTACCTACAGGCCAAATATCATAGACCTACACTGAATGGTTCTATGTTCCACCTAGCTACAGGCCGGATATCATATACCTACACTGATGTTTCTATGTTCCACCTATCTACAGGCCAGATATCATAGACCTAAACTGATGGTTCTATGTTTTACCTAACTACAGGCCAGATATCATAGACCTGAACTGATAGTTCTATGTTTCACATAGCTACAGGGCAGATATCATAGACCTGAACTGATGGTACTATGTTCCACCTAGCTACAGGCCAGATATCATAGACCTACACTTATGGTTCTATGTTCCACCTAGCTACAGCCAGATATCATAGACCTAAACTGATAGTTCTATGTTCCACCTAGCTACAGGCCAGATACCATAGAACTAAACTGAATGGATCTATGTTCCTGCTAGCTACAGGTCTGATATCATATACCTGAACTGATGGTTCTATGTTTTACCTAGCTACAAGTCAGATACCATAGGCCTAAACTGATGGTTCTATGTTCCACCTAGCTACTGACCAGATATCATAGACCTAAACTGTATGGTTCAATGTTCCACCTAGCTACAGGCCATATATCATATACCTGAACTGGTGGTTCTATGTTCCACCTAGCTACAGGCCAGATATCATAAACCTAAACTGATGGTTTTATGTTCCACCTAGCTACAGGCCAGATATCATAGAACTAAACTGAATGGATCTATGTTCCTGCTAGCTACAGGGCAAATATCATAGACCTAAACTGATGGTTCTATGTTCCACCTAGCTACAGGCCAGATATCATAGACCTACACTGAATGGATCTATGTTCCACCCAGCTATAGGCTAGATATCATAGATCTAAACTGAATGGTTCTATGTTCCACTTAGCTACAGGCCAGATATCATATACCTGAACTGATGGTTCTATGTTCCACCTAGCTACAGGCCAGATATCATAGGCCTACACTGATGGTTCTATGTTCCACCTAGCTACGGGCCAGATATCATAGACCTAAACTGATGGTTTTATGTTCCACCTAGCTACAGACCAGATATCATAGACCTAAACAGATGGTTCTATGTTTCACCTAGCTACAGGCCAGATATCATACACCTGAACTGATGGTTCTATGTTCCACCTAGCTACCGGACAGATATCATAGACCTGAACTGATGGTTCTATGTTCCACCTAGCTACAGGCCAGATATCATAGATCTACACTAAATGAGTTTATATTCCACATAGCTAGAGGTCAGATATCTCAGACCTACATTGATGGTTCTTTAAAAGTGGAAAATGTCAACTGCTAACGGAGGACAGTTTCAAGGAAATGTGAGCTATTCTAGATATACAGAGAGACGGCACAGTACTGTTAGCTAATGATGTAATATTAACTAATACAAGCTATAGAAAGATACCATGTCAAATGGAACATAAAATGTACAGGGATATGTCGGCTAGTACCAGCTATAGAGACGCAAGGTCAAAGGGTTATGCGAGTTAATTCTTGCTAAATGTACAGGGATATGTCGGCTAGTACCAGCTACAGAGACGCAAGGTCAAAGGGTTATGTGAGTTAATTCTTGCTAAATGTACAGGGATATGTCGGCTAGTACCAGCTATAGAGACGCAAGGTCAAAGGGTTATGCGAGTTAATTCTTGCTAAATGTACAGGGATATGTCGGCTAGTACCAGCTATAGAGACGCAAGGTCAAAGGGTTATGCGAGTTAATTCTTGCTAAATGTACAGGGATATGTCGGCTAGTACCAGCTATAGAGACGCAAGGTCAAAGGGTTATGCGAGTTAATTCTTGCTAAATGTACAGGGATATGTCGGCTAGTACCAGCTATAGAGACGCAAGGTCAAAGGGTTATGCGAGTTAATTCTTGCTAAATGTACAGGGATATGTCGGCTAGTACCAGCTATAGAGACGCAAGGTCAAAGGGTTATGCGAGTTAATTCTTGCTAAATGTACAGGGATATGTCGGCTAGTACCAGCTATAGAGACGCAAGGTCAAAGGGTTATGCGAGTTAATTCTTGCTAAATGTACAGGGATATGTCGGCTAGTACCAGCTATAGAGACGCAAGGTCAAAGGGTTATGCGAGTTAATTCTTGCTAAATGTACAGGGATATGTCGGCTAGTACCAGCTATAGAGACGCAAGGTCAAAGGGTTATGCGAGTTAATTCTTGCTAAATGTACAGGGATATGTCGGCTAGTACCAGCTATAGAGACGCAAGGTCAAAGGGTTATGCGAGTTAATTCTTGCTAAATGTACAGGGATATGTCGGCTAGTACCAGCTATAGAGACGCAAGGTCAAAGGGTTATGCGAGTTAATTCTTGCTAAATGTACAGGGATATGTCGGCTAGTACCAGCTATAGAGACGCAAGGTCAAAGGGTTATGCGAGTTAATTCTTGCTAAATGTACAGGGATATGTCGGCTAGTACCAGCTATAGAGACGCAAGGTCAAAGGGTTATGCGAGTTAATTCTTGCTAAATGTACAGGGATATGTCGGCTAGTACCAGCTATAGAGACGCAAGGTCAAGGGGTTATGGGAGTTAATTCTTGCTAAATGTACAGGGATATGTCGGCTAGTACCTGCTATAGAGACGCAAGGTCAAGGGGTTATGGGAGTTAATTCTTACTAAATGTACAGGGATATGTCGGCTAGTACCAGCTACAGGGACGCAAGGTCAAAGGGTTATGGGAGTTAATTCTTGCTCAATATACAGGGATATGTCGGCTAGTACCAGCTATAGAGACGCAAGGTCAAAGTGTTATGTGAGTTGATTCTTGCTAAATGTACAGGGATATGTCAGCTAGGACCAGCTATAGAGACGCAAGGTCAAAGTGTTATGGGAGTTAATTCTTGCTAAATGTACAGGGATATGTCAGCTAGTACCAGCTATACAGACGCAAGGTCAAAGTGTTATGCGAGTTAATTTTTGCTAAATGTACAGGGATATGTCAGCTAGGACCAGCTATAGAGACGCAAGGTCAAAGTGTTATGGGAGTTAATTCTTGCTAAATGTACAGGGATATGTCAGCTAGTACCAGCTATAGAGGCGCAAGGTCAAAGTGTTATGCGAGTTAATTTTTGCTAAATGTACAGGGATATGTCAGCTAGTACCAGCTATAGAGACGCAAGGTCAAAGGGTTACGCGAGTTAATTCTTGCTAAATGTACAGGGATATGACGGCTAGTACCAGCTATAGAGACGCAAGGTCTAAGGGTTATGTGAGTTAATTCTTGCTAAATGTACAGGGATATGTCAGCTAGTACCAGCTATAGAGACGCAAGGTCAAAGTGTTATGCGAGTTAATTTTTACTAAATGTACAGGGATATGTCAGCTAGTACCAGCTATAGAGGCGCAAGGTCAAAGTGGTATGTGAGTTAATTCTTACTAAATGTACAGGGATATGTCGGCTAGTAACAGCTACAGAGGCGCAAGGTCAAAGTGGTATGCGAGTTAATTCTTACTAAATGTACAGGGATATGTCAGCTAGTACCAGCTATAGAGGCGCAAGATCAAAGGGTTATGTGAGTAATTCTTACTAAATGTACAGGGATATGTCGGCTAGTACCAGCTATAGAGGCGCAAGGTCAAAGTGTTATGTGAGTTAATTCTTGCTAAAAGGACAGGGTTATGTGAGTTAATTCTTGCTAAAAGGACACAATTTCACAGGGATCTGGAGGCTATTACTAGCTATGGAGGCACTCACAAGGCCATAAGGCTTTTTGATTTAACAGTTACCTTAGGAACACACAGTATCAAACATAATCAACAATAGCATTTGCCACAAAAATATTTATTTTTATGTAAGACAAACACTACAAGTCACAATACATGTATGTGTTACTACTTGTGCTGGTATCTTAAAAGTCAACAATTACTGTAAGTGGTCAAAAGATGAATGTAAATGGCTTCATTAAAGTAAATGTGTACTGTAAGCACACTCATTTTAGCACACTTCAATTTCAGCACATCATCAAATGTTTAACAGAAGCACATTGATGAATTAGTGCACTTACACTATATCTGATAAGAAATGATGTAAAGAAGCTTAGTCTCAATCAGTGCTATCACAATTTAACTCAATATAAAGTGAAAAATGGGCTGAGATAAGATCATTGCTAAATTATGTACATTTACGGTTAATATTGATGAATGACAGGTGACAAGTGCCCAGTATTTTAATTTGAGGAATGATAACCAGGTGTCCAATACTCCAGCGTTTTACAATCATACTTCTCTGTATTGTGATAAATGATGGGGATATTTAAGGTCTCGTGCAGCTTTTCTTCATCCAGTTGACTAGCTTTCAAAGGATAGATTTTCTTTTGCTATTTAACTGTCTAAGTACCCCAGCTATTTCGTAAAGAAGTCACTTTAAATTTGAACGAATCTGCATTAAAGAGACTTCTCTGTAAACACTTGGTATGTAATTGGTCTATATACTTTTATTAGGGCATGGTGAGATCCATGTTTCCATTGCAATTTTACATTGAGTAAATACCAAGACGGATAAATCTAAACTGAAAACTTCAGAAAAATGATGGAAAAAAGGTTATTTGATAAAACACTTGCAATAAATAAGATAACAGCTCTAAGTAGGGAAGTTGTAAGGGTCTGACACAACACTGTTATATAACAACCCAGGTGCCTGTATCAGCTGTAGCTCCGCCAATCTAGCACTCTTTGGTCCACTCTAGATATCAGCTGTAGCTCTGCCAATCTAGCACTCTTTGGTCCACTCTAGATATCAGCTGTGCTATGATACTAGTAAAACCATTGTAGTATTGATACGTGGTAAGAATGACTTGGATCAGGACAGTATAACCCATCTATGTCAGATAAAGTTCCATCAACCACAGTACACTGAAGTAACCTTGAATGTTGGAATTACTGACACAAACCACAAACACAAAGTACTGATGCCATCCTTTGTCACTTCCATCATGTGAGCACTACCTGTCCATGTTACAGTACTGATGACATCCTTTGTCACTTCCATCATGTGAGCACTATCTGTCCATGTTACAGTACTGATGACATCCTTTGCCACTTCCATCATGTGAGCACTATCTGTCCATGTTACAGCGAGCACCAGTCACTATCATTGTACAATCAATTCTCATATGATTCAGGTAAAAAGTCTGCCAGCTTGTGTGAGTGGTCCTTAACACCACCTTTATAATGATGGTCATGTCTTGGGCTCTGATTTGGAATGAGTAGGAAGGGCATAGGGAGCTCCAAGGAACTGGTCAGCAATGCGCTCTGCCTCCCTCAGGCCACTCAGCAGTGCACCATGGACAGTGGCAGGATAGTTACGGATTGTGTGTTCACCAGCAAAGAACATGCGTGGCTGGGTCCCGGGCTGTAGGGATACAGGCGTGGCCATCAGGTCATAGTCATTTCCTGTTCATAAAACACACAGTATATAAAAAGTAGTAATTTCTTCAATAACATTCATCAGTTTGGAAATATGTGATATCAAAGTTTTACTTTCTACACAAACAATGTACGCATTAAATGTGTCGCAACCTTTGAAGACCCACTGGTCAAGCTATGAGTGACTGAGTGAATTGCTCACTCAGTCATAGACCAGACAGTCTTGAAACGTTGCGACACATTAAATACGAACATTGTTTGTGTAGAAAGTAAAACTTTAATATCATTATAAAGTAGTATTTAACTACAGGATGAGGGACAACTACCATATTTTCACAAAACACCAGGACATAGTATTATTCTGTACACAAAACACATGGTACAGACCTTATGTGTGTACTGTAAAAGGGGAGACAACCACATGTCCTCTATGTTAAAAACATGGGGCGTTTTAATGTAAACTAGTAATAAAGAATTAATATTGTAAAAATGACAGACTCTAATACAAATAATGTGAATTAAGGACCTACCATAAATCAGGTTATTTACACTGGCTTAGAGTTTTACAACCCTAACCCTAAGTTATGTAATTAAACTTACAAGAATTTTAAAATCGCAATCTAGACAAGAGAAGGAACTTAATTTTTGTGAATGTCTTCAGTTGACTTTCGTATAAAAATCCAAATATTTACTTATACTCCCTAACTTCTGTTCAACTAGACAATAATTCCAGTCTATTTTAAAATAATTCTTATCTTTTATATGAATCACTTTCTCTCTATTATGGTTATGAAGTTTATTTTCGTGCCTGTTTTAAACTCGTCCTATTATTCTGCAGATCACATTTTCGCAATGATAATAATAACCTGCGTAATTGTGAAAAATATCACTCCCACAAAACTATCCTGCTATATGGTATCTATACATAGGGGGACTGCATGTAACCTATAATTACCTGATGAGCCAGCTGCAACATAGGAGTAGGATCCGCGTGCCCAAGGATCAGCCCTCCATCGTGTAACGAGCGTCTCCTTAGGCTGTCAACATAGAGAATTGTGTTGAGTCTAAATTGTACAGGTTTATCCAAGTGTTAAATTGTCACAAGGGTGTCTTTAGGCTGTACAGACATAAATGATTCTAAACACGGTTTACATTTCATGTGTGTTTCTCCTGCTGTTGTATTGGAAAGCTATAAACTCGTTAGGCACAGCAGCTGTTGCATTGGAAAGATATAAACTCGTTAGGCACAGCTGCTGTTGTATTAGAAAGATATAAACTCGTTAGTCACAGCTGCTGTTGTATTGGAAAGCTATCTATAAACTACTCGTTAGGCACAGCTGCTGTTGCATTGGAAAGCTATAAACTTGTTAGGCACAGCTGCTGTTGTATTGGAAAGCTATCTATAAACTCGTTAGGCATAGCTGCTGTTGTATTGGGAAGCTATCTATAAACTCGTTAGGCACAGCTGCTGTTGTATTGGGAAGCTATCTATAAACTCGTTAGTCACAGCTGCTGTTGTATTGGAAAGCTATCTATAAACTCGTTAGGCACAGCTGCTGTTGTATTGGGAAGCTATAAACTTGTTATGCACAGCTGCTGTTGTATTGGGAAGCTATCTATAAACTTGTTAGTCACAGCTGCTGTTGTATTGGAAAGCTATCTACAAACTCGTTAGTCACAGCTGCTGTTGTATTGGGAAGCTATAAACTCGTTAGGCACAGCTGGTGTTGTATTGGAAAGCTATCTATAAACTTGTTAGGCACAGCTGGTGTTGTATTGGAAAGCTATCTATAAACTTGTTAGTCACAGCTGCTGTTGTATTGGGAAGCTATAAACTCGTTAGGCACACCTAGTGTTGTATTGGAAAGCTATCTATAAACTTGTTAGGCACAGCTGGTGTTGTATTGGGAAGCTATAAACTCGTTAGGCACAGCTGCTGTTGTATTGGGAAGCTATCTACAAACTCGTTAGGCACAGCTGCTGTTGTATTGGGAAGCTATAAACTCGTTAGGCACAGCTGCTGTTGTATTGGGAAGCTATAAACTTGTTAGTCACAGCTGCTGTTGTATTGGGAAGCTATCTATAAACTTGTTAGGCACAGCTGCTGTTGTATTGGGAAGCTATCTACAAACTCGTTAGGCACAGCTGCTGTTGTATTGGAAAGCTATAAACTTGTTAGTCACAGCTGCTGTTGTATTGGAAAGCTATCTACAAACTCGTTAGTCACAGCTGCTGCTGTATTGGGAAGCTATAAACTCATTAGGCACAGCTGCTGTTGTATTGGGAAGCTATAAACTTGTTAGTCACAGCTGGTGTTCTATTGGGAAGCTATCTATAAACTTGTTAGGCACAGCTGCTGTTGTATTGGGAAGCTATAAACTCGTTAGTCACAGCTGCTGTTGCATTGGAAAGCTATAAACTCGTTAGGCACAGCTGCTGACAGCTACTTTAGTATAAGTCAACATTCTCTTTTACTTGGAGACTTTCCATTGAGACAAAGAAAACATGAAGCCAACTTATCAAGGACAAGTCGCGAGCATGAAACTACGCAATGATGGACAAGGGAACTCTTACACACACACACTTAAGAGTATGGGAATACGAAGCGTAGTAACTTGAACCAAATATAGTTCGGAACTTTCACCGATTAAAAACGCCAATGTTGAAGATCTTTACATATTTTCTTTGATTTTTTTGTCTTATACAGATATATTGTACCAAATTATTCGGTCCAAAAAGCGCAGTAATCTGAGATTGATATAGTTCATGATGCTCACTGAAAAAACTTTGGCCTTTTTGTAAAATTTTACCTTTTTTTTTTTGATTTATTGATCGTTTTCATATGTGTTTTATCATTTTGTAGCATTAATCATACCATGAAATAATCAACACAGTATTTTAAAGATATTCCGCAGAAGAAGAAATTATGTTGTTTGGTTTTGATTTGCCCAGGCAGTGCATAGAAAGTATAACAATATTTCTGCCTCTCACCTGTGGCACAGCATTGTTTCCAAAGATCCCTTTAAGGACAGCAATGGAGCGCCCAACAATGACATCATCACTGACATTCTCCATGATAGCAGCAGCTTCTCCTGCCACTAGAGCCAGGAGGACAGGAGCCTTGTACAGGTTCCAGAACAAGAACAGTTCTCCCCGGCTGGCTGTAGTACTGCCCACATGGCCAAACAGGTTTGCATTTGGATCCCAGAATACACGGTCAAAGCAAAGTACGACCTTGGGAAAATGTGGGAAAATCCATTACAACAATTATCAAAATATATCTTAACAGCATTTCAGATATCATTTCAATAATGCCAGACCTAAACATCTGAAATCTGTTACTCCGTTGCTATAAAAGTAACACGTTATGAGCATCAACTAAAATCACCTTCCCTAATCTAAAAGGCAGAGATCATTCTGGTTAAGGAATATAATGCTCACACTTAGGCTGAATTCCAGCAGATTGACATTTTAGCAGGCTTTCAATGACAAATCATATGACCAATCAATACAAAAAATGATGGGTCATTTAGAAATTTGATGGACAAATTATCCCCGGGCCCCTTCCAATATGACCACTGGACATGTTATTATAACAATTCATATAGCTTATAAACTTGTTCAACAAATGACCTTGTGTAAATATAAAAAGAACACCACCCTAAATTTCCAATGTTAAGTTCTCTCTGTTATAAACTGGTTCCTGTGTTGGAATTCATTGGTAAAATAGACCTACCTTATTCAGATTGCCAAAGCCCATCCTCTGTATGGCTGCCGACTTCCAGTCTGGGAGGGGTGGCACAAACTGGACACTGTTAAGGCCATTGCCACGGATACACTCCTTCATAACGCCAAGGGGCAGTGTGCACAACACTGCATCCCCCTTCAGTGTCTGGGGCCCTGTGTTGTTTTTGGCATTACTCACCACGACCTCCACACCTTAAAGTCAATAACACCATAACATTTTATTTAGGTTTATGAAAGTCTTCTTCAACCAAAGATGCATTACACTACCGTAACAAGCAAACTATGATCAACACAATGCTTTCTTTATGATAAATCCCATGTGAGAGACTCAATGGTGCAGTACTCGCTCACCCGTGAGAGACTCGTTGGTGCAGTACTCGCCCACCCGTGAGAGACTTGTTGGTGCAGTACTCGCCCACCCGTGAGAGACTTGTTGGTGCAGTACTCGCCCACCCGTGAGAGACTCGTTGGTGCAGTACTCGCCCACCCGTGAGAGACTCGTTGGTGCAGTACTCGCCCACCCGTGAGAGACTCGTTGGTGCAGTACTCGCCCACCCGTGAGAGACTCGTTGGTGCAGTACTCGCCCACCCGTGAGAGACTCGTTGGTGCAGTACTCGCCCACCCGTGAGAGACTCGTTGGTGCAGTACTCGCCCACCCGTGAGAGACTCGTTGGTGCAGTACTCGCCCACCCGTGAGAGACTCGTTGGTGCAGTACTCGCCCACCCGTGAGAGACTCGTTGGTGCAGTACTCGCCCACCCGTGAGAGACTCGTTGGTGCAGTACTCGCCCACCCGTGAGAGACTCGTTGGTGCAGTACTCGCCCACCCGTGAGAGACTCGTTGGTGCAGTACTCGCCCACCCGTGAGAGACTCGTTGGTGCAGTACTCGCCCACCCGTGAGAGACTCGTTGGTGCAGTACTCGCCCACCCGTGAGAGACTCGTTGGTGCAGTACTCGCCCACCCGTGAGAGACTCGTTGGTGCAGTACTCGCCCACCCGTGAGAGACTCGTTGGTGCAGTACTCGCCCACCCGTGAGAGACTCGTTGGTGCAGTACTCGCCCACCCGTGAGAGACTCGTTGGTGCAGTACTCGCCCACCCGTGAGAGACTCGTTGGTGCAGTACTCGCCCACCCGTGAGAGACTCGTTGGTGCAGTACTCGCCCACCCGTGAGAGACTCGTTGGTGCAGTACTCGCCCACCCGTGAGAGACTCGTTGGTGCAGTACTCGCCCACCCGTGAGAGACTCGTTGGTGCAGTACTCGCCCACCCGTGAGAGACTCGTTGGTGCAGTACTCGCCCACCCGTGAGAGACTCGTTGGTGCAGTACTCGCCCACCCGTGAGAGACTCGTTGGTGCAGTACTCGCCCACCCGTGAGAGACTCGTTGGTGCAGTACTCGCCCACCCGTGAGAGACTCGTTGGTGCAGTACTCGCCCACCCGTGAGAGACTCGTTGGTGCAGTACTCGCCCACCCGTGAGAGACTCGTTGGTGCAGTACTCGCCCACCCGTGAGAGACTCGTTGGTGCAGTACTCGCCCACCCGTGAGAGACTCGTTGGTGCAGTACTCGCCCACCCGTGAGAGACTCGTTGGTGCAGTACTCGCCCACCCGTGAGAGACTCGTTGGTGCAGTACTCGCCCACCCGTGAGAGACTCGTTGGTGCAGTACTCGCCCACCCGTGAGAGACTCGTTGGTGCAGTACTCGCCCACCCGTGAGAGACTCGTTGGTGCAGTACTCGCCCACCCGTGAGAGACTCGTTGGTGCAGTACTCGCCCACCCGTGAGAGACTCGTTGGTGCAGTACTCGCCCACCCGTGAGAGACTCGTTGGTGCAGTACTCGCCCACCCGTGAGAGACTCGTTGGTGCAGTACTCGCCCACCCGTGAGAGACTCGTTGGTGCAGTACTCGCCCACCCGTGAGAGACTCGTTGGTGCAGTACTCGCCCACCCGTGAGAGACTCGTTGGTGCAGTACTCGCCCACCCGTGAGAGACTCGTTGGTGCAGTACTCGCCCACCCGTGAGAGACTCGTTGGTGCAGTACTCGCCCACCCGTGAGAGACTCGTTGGTGCAGTACTCGCCCACCCGTGAGAGACTCGTTGGTGCAGTACTCGCCCACCCGTGAGAGACTCGTTGGTGCAGTACTCGCCCACCCGTGAGAGACTCGTTGGTGCAGTACTCGCCCACCCGTGAGAGACTCGTTGGTGCAGTACTCGCCCACCCGTGAGAGACTCGTTGGTGCAGTACTCGCCCACCCGTGAGAGACTCGTTGGTGCAGTACTCGCCCACCCGTGAGAGACTCGTTGGTGCAGTACTCGCCCACCCGTGAGAGACTCGTTGGTGCAGTACTCGCCCACCCGTGAGAGACTCGTTGGTGCAGTACTCGCCCACCCGTGAGAGACTCATTGGTGCAGTACTCGCCCACCCGTGAGAGACTCGTTGGTGCAGTACTCGCCCACACCTGCATGTCAGGGATCGAGAAAAAAAGGCGGCAAATGTGGGAACCCCCTGTAGAAGTAATTCTCTCTACTTCTAACTATCTTCTGTTTCCGAGTGGCTTGCTTGGCTTTATGCTGAACCCAGGTAATTTATAAGGAAGGCAATGGCTTCTGTCCTGATGCTGCGGCATACCAAAGTCCTTAACAAGCCATTTGGATTGATATGTCTAGCCTGTGCCCCACTTTAACCATCAATGCACTTATCAGAGAAACTAACTTAAACGCAAAAACTTAATGTTGATGGAGATGCTAACAAAGTCAATGGACCATGAAAGGTAGGTTGCCTCTAGCATTTGATACAATGGGCTGAGATGTACTTCCTAAGATGCATCTATGGTCGAAGTTTGGTTGGTCTAGCACTTAACCTTTCAGTGATACTAACTTAAACACAAAAACTTAATGTTGACGCCGCAGCCGGATAGCAACACCTCAGTCAGATAGCAACACCTCAGTCAGATCCCCAAGTCAGATAGCAACACCTCAGTCAGATAGCAACACCTCAGTCAGATCCTCAGTCAGATAGCAACACCTCAGTCAGATAGACCTCAGCCGGATAGCAACACCTCAGTCAGATAGCAACACCTCAGTCAGATCCTCAGTCAGATAGCAACACCTCAGTCAGATAGACCTCAGCCGGATAGCAACACCTCAGTCAGATAGCAACACCTCAGTCAGATCCTCAGTCAGATAGCAACACCTCAGTCAGATAGACCTCAGCCGGATAGCAACACCTCAGTCAGATAGCAACACCTCAGTCAGATCCTCAGTCAGATAGCAACACCTCAGTCAGATAGACCTCAGCCGGATAGCAACACCTCAGTCAGATAGCAACACCTTAGTCTCGCTTTGGCTTCTTTGTGGTGGTGAGACAAAAATAGTAGTTGATATTCCCTGTTTAATGTTCTAAATTATGGAAATAGCAACAACTGGTTCACCTGTTATCAGTATAATGTGACCGGGCTGAATGCTATGCTGGGTGCTCTCGGCTTGGTATTTCAGTGAGATAGCCTACAAAGTCAGCATCAGATCTATTCTCTGCCAAGGAGGCAATTACACCAACATACCCTGCCTCCAGCACACATACACACATGCATGCATACATTACACACATGGAGGCACACCCTTAAATGACCTTAGCTGTTGATAGGCATTTAACACTTTTTAACAAAAAGAACAAAAGCACTCACCATTTGGGTTACAAGTGACCTTGCGTACAGCAGTATTAAGTTTGATGTCCACCCCTTCAGACAAAGCCACAGGAACACAGGAGTATCCATTTCTCACTAGTAACAACACAAACGGTTGGTAGCATATTCTTTTTTAAATTAAATGTTAACATTATTAGCTGAAAATTGTACAGAAAAGTGCCTCACATAATTCCAGTTACTCTATCATTGCAAAGGGACATGTATCTGAATCCAGTTACTCTATCATTACAAAGGGACTTGTATCTGAATCGAGTTACTCTATCATTACAAAGGGACATGTATCTGAATCCAGTTACTCTATCATTACAAAGGGACATGTATCTGAATCAAGTTACTCAATCATTACAAAGGGATGTCTCTGAATCTAGTTACTCTATCATTACAAAGGGATGTCTCTGAATCCAGTTACTCTATCATTACAAAGGGATGTATTTGAATCCAGTTACTCAATCATTACAAAGGGACATGTATCTGAATCCAGTTACTCTATCATTACAAAGGGACATGTATCTGAATCAAGTTACTCAATCATTACAAAGGGATGTATCTAAATCTAGTTACTCTATCATTACAAAGGGATGTATCTGAATCCAGTTACTCAATCATTACAAAGGGAGGTATCTGAATCTAGTTACTCTATCATTACAAAGGGAGGTATCTGAATCGTCATCAGAAGGAGAATACAGTCACTACTTTAATTAGTGATGTTAAAATACAATTATTAACATGGAGCCCTTCTTTCATGTATTCTAATTAAAATAGTCTGACTTAATAAGCAAAGCTTGACATGTATAGTTTTTGAGTTTTGTGAGAAATAAACAACAATAAATCAACATTTATTTGAGCTTCTTCCAACCATGTATTAAACTTTAAAACATATGATAATACTCGATCTTTACTGAAGGATATAACCAAATCATTACCATGGATAGGTATTTACTTCATTCTTAACAACAAGCTAAAAGAACAAGACGAAGCAAATGTTGCTCTGCTGGATATCCATAGAGATCAAGATTGTTCCATGAGAAAGAGTGACAAGTTACCAGCTGCCCTCGTTTAGTACCGAGACGACAGGTGACTTAACTTAGGCAGAGACGACAGGTGACTTTATTTAGGCAGAGACGACAGGTGACTTTACTTAGGCAGAGACGACAGGTGACTTTACTTAGGCGAAGCCGAAAGGTGACTTGCAAAGACGACAGGTGACTCTACTTAGGCAGAGACGACAGGTGACTTTACTGAAGCAGGGACGACAGGTGACTTTACTAAGGCAGAGACGACAGGTGACTTTACTTAGGCAAAGCCGAAAGATGACTTTACTTAGGCAGAGACGACAGGTGACTTTACTTAGGCAGAGACGACAGGTGACTTAACTTAGGCAAAGCCGAAAGGTGACTTTACTTAGGTAGAGACGACAGGTGACTTTACTTAGGCAGAGATGACAGGTGACTTTACTTAGGCAAAGCCGAAAGGTGACTTTACTTAGGCAGAGACGACAGGTGACTTTACTTAGGCAGAGACGACAGGTGACTTTACTTAGGCAGAGACGACAGGTGACTTTACTTAGGCAGAGACGACAGGTGACTTTACTTAGGCAGAGACGACAGGTGACTTTACTTAGGCAGAGACGACAGGTGACTTTACTTAGGCAGAGACGACAGGTGACTTTACTTAGGCAGAGACGACAGGTGACTTTACTTAGGCAGAGACGACAGGTGACTTTACTTAGGCAAAGCCGAAAGGTGACTTTACTTAGGCAGAGACGACAGGTGACTTTACTTAGGCAGAGACGACAGGTGACTTTACTTAGGCAGAGACGACAGGTGACTTTACTTAGGCAGAGACGACAGGTGACTTTACTTAGGCAGAGACGACAGGTGACTTTACTTAGGCAGAGACGACAGGTGACTTTACTTAGGCAGAGACGACAGGTGACTTTACTTAGGCAGAGACGACAGGTGACTTTACTTAGGCAGAGACGACAGGTGACTTTACTTAGGCAGAGACGACAGGTGACTTTACTTAGGCAGAGACGACAGGTGACTTTACTTAGGCAGAGACGACAGGTGACTTTACTTAGGCAGAGACGACAGGTGACTTTACTTAGGCAGAGACGACAGGTGACTTTACTTAGGCAGAGACGACAGGTGACTTTACTTAGGCAGAGACGACAGGTGACTTTACTTAGGCAGAGACGACAGGTGACTTTACTTAGGCAGAGACGACAGGTGACTTTACTTAGGCAGAGACGACAGGTGACTTTACTTAGGCAGAGACGACAGGTGACTTTACTTAGGCAGAGACGACAGGTGACTTTACTTAGGCAGAGACGACAGGTGACTTTACTTAGGCAGAGACGACAGGTGACTTTACTTAGGCAGAGACGACAGGTGACTTTACTTAGGCAGAGACGACAGGTGACTTTACTTAGGCAGAGACGACAGGTGACTTTACTTAGGCAGAGACGACAGGTGACTTTACTTAGGCAGAGACGACAGGTGACTTTACTTAGGCAGAGACGACAGGTGACTTTACTTAGGCAGAGACGACAGGTGACTTTACTAAGGCAGACACAACAGGTGACTTTACTTAGGCAAAGCTGAAAGGTGACTTTACTTAGGCAGAGACGACAGGTGACTTTACTTAGGCAGAGACGACAGGTGACTTTACTTAGGCAGAGACGACAGGTGACTTTACTTAGGCAGAGACGACAGGTGACTTTACTTAGGCAGAGACGACAGGTGACTTTACTAAGGCAGAGACGACAGGTGACTTTACTTAGGCAGAGATGACAGGTGACTTTACTTAGGCAAAGCCGAAAGATGACTTTACTTAGGCAGAGACGATAGGTGACTTTACTTAGGCAGAGACGACAGGTGACTTTGCTTAGGCAGAGACGACAGGTGACTTTACTTAGGCAGAGACGACAGGTGACTTTACTTAGGCAGAGACAACAGGTGACTTTACTTAGGCAGAGAGGACAGGTGACTTTACTTAGGCAGAGATGAGAGGTGACTTTACTTAGGCAAAGCCGAAAGGAGACTTTACTTAGGCAGAGACAACAGGTGAGTTTACTTAGGCAGAGACGACAGGTGCCTTTACTTAGGCAAAGCCAAAAGGTGACTTTTCCTAGGCACAGATGACAGGTGACTTTACTTAGGCAAAGCCAAAAGGTGACTTTTCCTAGGCAGAGACGACAGGTGACTTTACTCAGGCAGAGACGACAGGTGACTTTACTTAGGCGGAGACGACAGGTGACTTTACTTAGGAAGAGACGACAGGTGACTTTACTTAGGCAAAGCCAAAAGGTGACTTTTCCTAGGCAGAGATGACAGGTGACTTTACTTAGGCAGAGACGACAGGTGACTTTACTTAGGCAGAGACGACAGGTGACTTTACTTAGGCAGAGTTGACAGGTGACTCTTCTTAGGCAGAGACGACAGGTGACTCTACTTAGGCAGAGACAACAGGTGACTTTACTTAGGCAGAGACACGGGTGACTTTATTTAGGCATGCACAGGCAGGTATTAAGACATTTAAAACAGGTGCTGCTTTACCTGTGATGTGACTTCCTGAGAACTCAAAGTCATCATCTTGATCCCAGTGTTTGAGTGAAAGCAGAGAAAGGGGTGTGGCATTGGCAAACTCAAGATTGGCAAAATGCCAATCAAGGATTTGCCTGTCCCGGGATGAGAGGTATACGTCACTAAGAAAAAAAAGGAAAAACAACAATTACGATTTCATCCTTAAAATTCTAATACCATCCACAGCCTTAACATTCTTAATACCATCCACAGCCTTAACATTCTTAATACCATCCACAGCCTAAACATTCTTAATACCATTCACAGCCTTAACATTCTAAATACCATCCACAGCCTTAACATTCTTAATGCCATCCACAGCCTTAACATTCTTAATACCATCCACAGCCTTAACATTCTAAATACTGATTCATAGAAGTTAAGTAACATCAAATCAAGTACATCTCAATCCAGAGCTTCTGATGTTAATACAATTATGACTTTAATCTTGGATTTGTTTTTATAATACAAGAATGGTTGGGTATCATAACCATGGAATGAAATCTTGTATAAAATACATTACCTAGGAGGAGTACTCTCTATTTCTTGTAGCTTTTCTTCCATCTCTTTCTGCTGTGCTTGCAATTGTTCATATTCCTATAAAAAGCAAATTACGTGTAATACTTATTATCATGTAACAAGATCATAATATAGGAACACACTCAAACTTGGCCTGACATCTAGAAGTTGTACTATCAAAACAATAGGTACTTGAAAATGTGGTATAAATAGGTTTTTAACCCTGTATGACTTTGGTTTTCTATTCAAAATTTTGTCTTTTTGACAGGCAAATTTTACACCCCTTATCTGTTATTTAAGTGTGAATATAACTGTGTTAGGTAATAAACTTACTTTACAAGCAGAATTAAGGTCCCGTAGTTTACTTTTGACTAGAAACTCTGCAGTGATGTCTCGCGGTGGTTTGACTTCCGATGCCTCCTTCCACTGTCTATGTAACTCTTCAACCCTGTCCTTCACAGACAACATCTGCAAACAAAAAAGGTCTGGGTTCAGTGTCCTATTAACAGAGGTTTGGTTATATTGGGTTCAGTGTTCTATTAACCGAGGTTTGGTTATATTGGGTTCAGTGTCCTATTAACAGAGGTTTGGTTATATTAGGTGCAGTGTCCTATTAACAGAGGTTTGGGTTTGGTTATATTGGGTTCAGTGTCCTATTAACAGAGGTTTGGTTATATTGGGTTCAGTGTCCTATTAACAGCGGTTTGGTTATATTGGGTTCAGTGTCCTATTAACAAAGGTTTGGTTATATTAGGTTCAGTGTCCTATTAACACAGGTTTGGTTATATTAGGTTCAGTGTCCTATTAACAAAGGTTTGGTTATATTGGGTTCAGTGTCCTATTAACAGAGGTTTGGTTATATTAGGTTCAGTGTCCTATTAACAAAGGTTTGGTTATATTGGGTTCAGTGTCCTATTAACAGCTGTTTGGGTTAGTACTGTAACCCTAACCCTAACTTACAGTACTGTAACCCTAACCTACAGTACTGTATGTAACCCTAACCTACAGTACTGTAACCCTAACCCTAACCTACAGTACTGTAACCCTAACCCTAGCCTACAATACTGTAACCCTAACCCAAACCTACAGTACTGTAACCCTAACCTACAGTACTGTAACCCTAACCCTAGCCTACAATACTGTAACCCTAACCCAAACCTACAGTACTGTAACCCTAACCTACAGCACTGTAACCCTAACCTACAGTACTGTAACCCTACCCTACAGTACTGTAACACTAACCCTAACCTACAGTAATGTAACCCTAACCCTAACCTACAGTACTGTAACCCTAACCCTAACCTACAGTACTGTAACCCTAACCCTAACCTATAGTACTGTAACACTTACCCTTACCTACAGTAATGTAACCCTAACCCTAACCTACAGTACTGTAACCCTAACCCTAACCTACAGTACTATAACCCTAACCTACACTACTGTAACCCTAACCTACAGTACTGTAACCCTAACCCTAACCTACAGTACTGTTACCCTAACCCTAACCTACAGTACTGTAACACTAACCCTAACCTACAGTAATGTAACCCTAACCTACAGCACTGTAACCCTAACCTACAGCACTGTAACCCTAACCTACAATACTGTAACCCTTACCCTAACCTACAGTACTGTAACCCTAACCTACAGCACTGTAACCCTAACCCTAACCTACAGTACTGTAACCCTAACCCTAACCTACAGTACTGTTACACTAACCCTAACCTACAGTAATGTAGCCCTAACCCTAACCTACAGTACTGTAACCCTAACCCTAACCTACAGTACTGCAACCCTAACCCTAACCCTAACCTACAGTACTGTAACCCTAACCCTAACCTACAGAACTGTAACCCTAACCTCCAGTAGTGTAACCCTAACCCTAACCTACAGTACTATCACCCTAACCCTAACCTACAGTACTGTAACCCTAACCCTAACCTAAAGTACTGTAACCCTAACCTCCAGTAGTGTAACCCTAATCCTAACCTACAGTACTGTAACCCTAACCCTAACCTACAGTACTGTAACCCTTACCCTAACCTACAGTACTGTAACCCTAACTCCACCTGGTCATACTGGTAATTGTCCTGACAACAGCTCAACAAATTGTTGAGATTATCCTAAATGCTGAATGTACAACTATGATTTTTAAGGACTTCAGTATGTCTGGGCCTGAGGAGAGAACCCATAGCCTTCCCCACCTTGGCAAACATTCAACACTAAGGCCAAAAGAGCAACTGCCTAATGAAGGCCCAAGGAAACAGAAAGTGAGAAAATATAAGATCCCAATTATAGCAATCAGTACAGCAGATTAATTGTTGTTGCTTGTAGGATGTATAACTTACTGTGGTTTGATTTTTCTTCAGTTTCTCCTGTAGACTAATAATGGTCCTCTGATGTATAACTTACTGTGGTTTGATTTTTCTTCAGTTTCTCCTGTAGACTAATAATGGCCCTCTGATGTATAACTTACTGTGGTTTGATTTTTCTACAGTTTCTCCTGTAGACTAATAATGGTCCTCTGTTGTATAACTTACTATGGTTTGATTTTTCTTCAGTTTCTCCTGAAGACTAATAATGGTCCTCTGTTGTATAACTTACTGTGGTTTGATTTTTCTTCAGTTTCTCCTGTAGACTAATAATGGCCCTCTGATGTATAACTTACTGCGGTTTGATTTTTCTACAGTTTCTCCTGTAGACTGATAATGATCCTCTGTTGTATAACTTACTGTGGTTTGATTTTTCTTCAGTTTCTCCTGTAGACTAATAATGGTCCTCTGTTGTATAACTTACTATGGTTTGATTTTTCTTCAGTTTCTCCTGTAGACTAATAATGGCCCTCTGATGTATAACTTACTGCGGTTTGATTTTTCTACAGTTTCTCCTGTAGACTGATAATGATCCTCTGTTGTATAACTTACTGTGGTTTGATTTTTCTTCAGTTTCTCCTGTAGACTAATAATGGTCCTCTGTTGTATAACTTACTATGGTTTGATTTTTCTTCAGTTTCTCCTGTAGACTAATAATGGCCCTCTGATGTATAACTTACTGCGGTTTGATTTTTCTACAGTTTCTCCTGTAGACTGATAATGATCCTCTGTTGTATAACTTACTGTGGTTTGATTTTTCTTCAGTTTCTCCTGTAGACTAATAATGGTCCTCTGTTGTATAACTTACTATGGTTTGATTTTTCTTCAGTTTCTCCTGTAGACTAATTATGGCCCTCTGATGTATAACTTACTATGGTTTGATTTTTCTTCAGTTTCTCCTGTAGACTGATAATGGTCCTCTGTTGTTCACACTGCTTCTCCTTCACATGTTTCTCCTGCATTCTGAAAAAGGACAAACAATTCAACAAGCAGTTTTTAAGATTAAAACATCAATTACCACTTTTGTGCTCCAACCTTTCGACTTATTTACATTAAGTTTAATTTCTAACCTTTTCAACAGCCAGCATGGCCCCTCAACTGAGAGCTTCTACTACAGATCATCTTGTCATTGATAAATAATGAGGAGGCCATTATAAATGTTTTATGTCCCGTTTCTTCACTTAAATTGTTTTCTGACCCACCTGGGGGCTGAGGGATGGAGTCCAAAGGGGTTGAATGGGTTGATTGATTTTAAATTACATAAGTCTACAACAATATAGGTTGATACCAGCAGTTTAAGTGTCTTAAGTCATACCATGTACGCTTCCTTTGTATTTTAACTAGGTCAATGGTCACTAAAATTGAATGGTTTTAATATTTTTGCTCACAATCTGTGATCAAAAAAGGTTTATGTACATCTGTAAACACTTTTCCACCTGACACCTTGGTCCAAATATGAAGCCTCATTATCACTTAAGAAAGCTGGATATTTTAACTTAAGCCATGATTTAATAGTTAAGTGGCCTAAGCCTTACTACTGAGAAGAAACCCCTCTTGCACCCAACAACATTACAATAGCCTAACTTGAATAGGACTGACTGCTTTAATGCAGTAAGCTATGGACTTACTTGATGACCGCCTCCAGAGCCTGACCCAAGGATGCAGGTTTGCCATTGACAGAATTGAAGTCTAGCTGATGAGAGAGATAAGAAGTGGATTCCAACAACCTGTTAAACTCACGCTCCACCATTTCATCCTTGTCTTTGGGCACCTGTAAAATAGAGGAGTCAAAAATAGTAAACATTTGTATGGCAAACTTCAGTAAAATCATAATGTGGTTGATGAGGGTCACAAAAAAATGTCCTTACTTAATGCTTACCCCAATATCTGTTTCATAAATAACCCTTACGGTTCCTCCGATGATCTTATACATTATATAGTGGGTAAGTATTGTAACATATCAAAAATCAAATTGCATATTTACAAAAATTTAATTAACCTAATAAGCAGGACCAAGCTTTCAGAGTTTTATGTTATGAAATGGAAATATGAAATAAACTTTAATTGAATAGTTTTTTTTCAGAAATAGTTTAATAATACATAGACAACATTATACAAAGCTATTCTATGTCTATATAACACAATGCTGACTAGATATAAACTATGGAGATCAAAGGCATGACATGTGACTAGCAATGATGATTTGAAGAAAACCTCAAAGGTTCACATACTAGTATGTGGATGTTGTCAACAAATAACTGTTGAATGTGGAATGTTACAACATTATCTTGGAACTCCCCTCTCAGGAACCAATCCTTGTAAAGTTGCTAGTTAACCATTTCAGCACCATGACAAAGTCTCTTTTAGGGACGGAAATGTGTGGTATTTTCTTCATCACACAGCATTTACATTTCTTTGTAAATATATCCTTTGGGGAATTTCCATTTTCCTATTTACAACCTGCTATAAGGTAGCCTGGGCTACCTCTGGAGCGCACAACAGACATGTCTGATGAAAATAATGTTTTCACTCTGGTGTGGCAGCCAACTTACTGACAGTATAGTGTTCACTGTCATAATAGCTGGATTGCTGTAATCTAAAGTCATGGGAATCACATATTGTGTTCGTCTTTATTAATCGATGGCTAGATTCGAAACTATACAGTTACAAATATGTGTTTGTTAATTCACTGTTATTACAACAGGGGCAGCTAAATGATCCACATCAAATACAATGACACATTAGTACAAGGTAAGCTTCTATTACAAGCATTCTCACCAACGACAAATATTTTCATTGAATCAAATTTCTGCATAAAATATGTTTACTACAAATGTGCAGTGAAAATTAGAATCAGCAACAAGTAGAAAGTTTACAGTAGGAAGAGACACTGACTGATCAGCCACAAGTAGAAAGTTTACAGTAGGAAGAGACACTGACAGATCAGCAACAAGTAGAAAGTTTACAGTAGAAAGAGACACTGACCGATCAGCAACAAATAGAAAGTTTACAGTAGTAAGAGACACTGACTGATCAGCAACAAGTACAAAGTTTACAGTAGGAAGAGACACTGACTTATCAGCAGCAAGTAGAAAGTTTACAGTAGGAAGTGACACTGACCGATCAGCAACAAATAGAAAGTTTACAGTAGTAAGAGACACTGACTGATCAGCAACAAGGAGAAAGATTACAGTAGGAAGAGACACTGACTGATCATCAACAAGTAGAAAGTTTACAGTAGGAAGTGACACTGACCGATCAGCAACAAATAGAAAGTTTACAGTAGTAAGAGACACTGACTGATCAGCAACAAGTACAAAGTTTACAGTAGGAAGAGACACTGACTTATCAGCAGCAAGTAGAAAGTTTACAGTAGGAAGAAACACTGACTGATCAGCAACAAGTACAAAGTTTACAGTAGGAAGAGACACTGACTTATCAGCAGCAAGTAGAAAGTTTACAGTAGGAAGAAACACTGACTGATCAGCAACAAGTACAAAGTTTACAGTAGGAAGAGACACTGACTTATCAGCAGCAAGTAGAAAGTTTACAGTAGGAAGAGTTCATTGAATCAAATTTCTGCATAAAATATGTTTACTACAAATGTGCAGGGAAAATTAGAATCAGCAACAAGTAGAAAGTTTACATTAGGAAGAGACACTGACTGATCAGCAACAAGGAGAAAGATTACAGTAGGAAGAGACACTGACTGATCATCAACAAGTAGAAAGTTTACAGTAGGAAGAGAACCTGACTGATCAGCAACAAGTAGAAAGTTTGCAGTAGGAAGAGACACTGACTGATCAGCCACAAGTAGAAAGTTTACAGTAGGAAGAGAGACTGACTGATCAGCAACAAGTAGAAAGGTTACAGTAGGAAGAGACACAGACCGATCAGGAACAAGTAAAAAGTTTACAGTAGGAAGAGACACTGACTGATATTACAAGCATTCTCACCAACGACAAATATTTTCATTGAATCAAATTTCTGCATAAAATATGTTTACTACAAATGTGCAGGGAAAATTAGAATCAGCAACAAGTAGAAAGTTTACAGTAGTAAGTGACACTGACCGATCAGCAACAAGTAGAAAGCTTACAGTAGGAAGAGACACTGACTGATCAGCCACAAGTAGAAAGTTTACAGTAGGAAGCGTCACTGACCGATCAGCAACAAGTAGAAAGATTACAGTAGGATGAGACACTGACCGATCAGCAACAAGAAGAAAGTTTACAGTAGGAAGAGAAACTGACTGATCAGCAACAAGTAGAAAGTTTACATTAGGAAGAGACACTGACTGATCAGCAACAAGTAAAAAGTTTACAGTAGGAAGAGACACTCACTGATCAGCAACAAGTAGAAAGTTTACAGTACGAAGAGACACTGACTGATCAGCAACAAGTAAAAAGTTTACAGTAGGAAGAGACACTGACTTATCAGCAGCAAGTAGAAAGTTTACAGTAGGAAGTGACACTGACCGATCAGCAACAAATAGAAAGTTTACAGTAGTAAGAGACACTGACTGATCAGCAACAAGTACAAAGTTTACAGTAGGAAGAGACACTGACTTATCAGCAGCAAGTAGAAAGTTTACAGTAGGAAGAGTTCATTGAATCAAATTTCTGCATAAAATATGTTTACTACAAATGTGCAGTGAAAATTATAATCAGCAACAAGTAGAAAGTTTACAGTAGGAAGAGAAACTGACTGATCAGCAACAAGTAGAAAGGTTACAGTAGGAAGAGACACAGACCGATCAGGAACAAGTAAAAAGTTTACAGTAGGAAGAGACACTGACAGATCAGCAACAAGTAGAAAGTTTACATTAGGAAGAGACACTGACTGATCAGCCACAAGTAGAAAGTTTACAGTAGGAAGAGAACCTGACTGATCAGCAACAAGTAGAAAGTTTACATTAGGAAGAGACACTGACTGATCAGCCACAAGTAGAAAGTTTACAGTAGGAAGTGACACTGACCGATCAGCAACAAATAGAAAGTTTTCAGTAGGAAGAGACCCTGACTGATCAGCAACAAGTAGAAAGATTACAGTAGGAAGAGACACTGACTGATATTACAAGCATTCTCACCAACGACAAATATTTTCATTGAATCAAATTTCTGCATAAAATATGTTTACTACAAATGTGCAGTGAAAATTATAATCAGCAACAAGTAGAAAGTTTACATTAGGAAGAGACACTGACTGATCAGCCACAAGTAGAAAGTTTACAGTAGGAAGAGAACCTGACTGATCAGCAACAAGTAGAAAGGTTACAGTAGGAAGAGACACAGACCGATCAGCAACAAGTAGAAAGTTTACAGTAGGAAGAGACACTGACCGTTCCTCCATTGGTTTCATACAGAGGACATTTCTGTTTAATCTTGTGAAGTTCCATGTTGATTTGTCGGCTCATTACAGTGATGGGGTTCCCACCTGAAAAATCAATAAGCATTCTAAAACAAGACGTTGCGAGGACAGACAAACCTCTATATAATATCCTATTAAAAAGAGGGTACACCTTTTGATATACTGATTTTGATGTTCAAGTAGTGGGTGAATTCCTGGCAAGGGGATACATGAACCTGGTTGTCTTTATGGGTTGAAGACTTATAAAAGAAAGGAGAAATGAAGTGGAACTGAACTGGGTTGATCGCCAGAGACCAGATAGCTCAATTGGTAGAGCATCTGTCTAGAGTTCAAAAGGTCCCGAATGACATTGTCTTGACCCTCAACCGCTGAGGGGCGGAATTGGCAAACATATTACCCATCCCTCTGACTGCCTGCAGCATAAGAGTGCTATTTAGATGAGCTGTCTTGATATTTACTGACAAAGGAAGCAGATGTTTTCAAAAGCTCTCAGGGAAAGTTTTCAATTATTTTTTGTGTTCAAAACAATTAAACTAAGCATTTAAAGCAATCACAGAACAGGGTTTAGCACAAACAAAATACTATTGGCTTTGTCAATGATGGGATCCCATATAGCCCTGACATTTTCTTGTTGTTATATACATTTCAAGTGCAAGATAAATATCTATTCAAGGAAGCTGCCATGTCTTCATTGAACAACACGATTAACAGAATAGTCTTGGTCACTTAATGAATACTACCAGGTACTCAGTTTTCCTTTTAAAAATCCTTCAGTGTTATGAACACTTTTTGATATTTTTTCACAAGTGCATAGGGTTAGGGCTAGAGTAACGAGTAAAAATATCAAAACAGTCATCCTATTCATGAACTATATTAAATGAGTCTCATCAAGCAACCAAGAATGCTTGACACCACAGCCAGAGCAATGAACAATAGACTTAATCAAGATCAAAGATGTTCCGGTCTAAGGTCAAGCTTTTACAAATGATGTTGGCATGCACTACTGATAGCGATACATAAGCATGTGAAGTTTTATGATCCTACCTGTTGTACTTTGTCCATAATGAACTGTTCATAATGGCAGGGCATACAAATAATTTAGTCAGTACTATCAATTCATTATAAACATAAATAAATACTTAATACTTACCGAGGCCAGTGACAACCATGGCCCCAAGATCTGCCACATAGTTGCCCTTACGGAAGGTGGCCACCCTCCCTCCTACCCGGTCCTGTACAGAAAATATATACAGGTCAAGTGTCGGTTCCTTGTACACATCAGTCATCAATGTAAACAAAGCATATGGACATTATCTCATTTTGTTTTGTTTCTCGGCTTTTGTTTTATAAGGTTCCATTTTTTTTATCCCACAAGCACGATGTATGTATTGACTGTAAAGATCCATTAGTTTCTGAGCATTGTTTTGCTTTTGCAGACTTTAAAAGCATTATCTAGATCTGTTGACTTAAAATTACCCGGGCCTCCAGCACAATGACCTCCATCCCAAAGGACATGAGCTGGCGAGCAGCTGTGAGCCCAGCAATACCAGCCCCGATGATTATAACTCTTCCATGCTTCTTTACTATAGAAAAGTTGGGATATAAAAAGTCTGAATTACAAGCTGAAAGACCTGAGGACATTTGCAAAAATACATCTAAATATATTCAGGATGAATCACAAGTTAATTACCATGGAAAGTAAATGGTTAAACTTATGGTTGAGGTCAAAAGTTTGCAAGATATGTGAATGACTTTGTTAAGAATACATTGAAAAACATTTTCCCAAGGAGAAAGCCATATGATATTTTGGAAGTGTCGGAGATACATACCTGGTAATGGTTTCAGACGCTTGTACACCCCAAAGTTAATGTAACCAAACCGTTCAAGGTAGGCATGTACTCTCATCACCAAGGGCCCATCACCTACACAGCAAATTCAAACACAAAAACAATTGGCGGCAAATAAACTCTACACCATCTCAGAAGATTTCATTTCATGTACAGATTCGAAAAAAGCTTTCACTGATTAGGAAGTTTGAAATGCACTTTGTGAATCGAACTACATGCCTTTTCCCATTTTTTAAATCTATTTTAACGAACTGCTTCTTTTAAATCCGTACTGAATTTCTCAAGTGGTATGCCTTATTAGCATTTCAATTGTGTACATGCATATGGTCCATGCACTTCCTAAGATCTGATCTGTGTAAGGCATTTGGATTTTTTTTTTAATTAAAATGTGTATATGATACAGACATATCTTTTAGTCATGTACATACTGTTGTAAGGAGCCTCAATCTGAGGTAAGGCATTCTCAAATGTCAGCTGCTGTTTGGGATTCTCCAACCAAAGCTGAATCTGTGGGACAAACAGGTGAAAATTATATAACTTCTTCTCACATAATATATATCTAGTCTGTGTGGCCTGTATCTAATCTGTGTGACATATATCTAATCTGTGTGGCCTGTATCTAATATGTGTGACATATATCTAATCTGTGTGACATATATCTAGTCTCTATGATATATATCTAGTCTCTATGATATATCTAGTCTATGTGACCTATATATCTAGTCTGTGTGACATATATCTAGTCTCTATGATATATATATAGTCTGTGTGGAATATATTTAGTCTGTGTGATACATATATATCTAGTCTGTGTGGCCTGTATCTAATCTGTGTGACATATATCTAGTCTGTGTGGCCTGTATCTAATCTGTGTGACATATATCTAGTCTGTGTGGCCTGTATCTAATCTGTGTGACATATATCTAGTCTCTATAATATATATCTAGTCTCTATGATATATCTAGTCTATGTGACCTATATATCTAGTCTGTGGGACATATAGCTAGTCTGTGTGATACACATATATCTAGTCTGTGTGACATATATCTAGTCTGTGTGATACATATATATCTAGTCTGTGTGGCCTGTATCTAATATGTGTGACATATATCTAGTCTGTGTGGCCTGTATCTAATCTGTGTGACATACATCTAGTCTGTGTGGCCTGTATCTAATCTGTGTGACATATATCTAGTCTGTGTGGCCTGTATCTAGTCTCTATGATATATCTAGTCTGTGTGACATATATCTAGTCTCTATGATATATATATAGTCTGTGTGGAATATATTTAGTCTGTGTGATACATATATATCTAGTCTGTGTGACATATATCTAATCTCTATGATATATATATATTCTGTGTGGAATATATCTAGTATCTATGATATATCTAGTCTGTGTGAAATATATCTAGTCTCTATGATATATATATAGTATGTGTGGAATATATCTAGTCTGTGTGACATATATCTAGTCTCTATGATATATCTAGTCTGTGTGACATATATCTAGTATCTATGATATATCTAGTCTGTGTGACATATATCTAGTCTCTATGATATATATATAGTCTGTGTGGAATATATCTAGTCTGTGTGATACATATATATCTAGTCTGTGTGACATATATCTAATCTCTATGATATATATATAGTCTGTGTGGAATATATCACTCGTCTGTGTGGAATATATCACTCGTCTGTGTGATACATAAATCTAGTCTGAGATATATATCTTGTTTGTGTGACACACATCTTGTCTACTGTGTGCCACACATAGGCACATTGAATCGTAAATATGACATATAATCATCTTTGTCACCCTTCTGATTTGTAACACTATTTCTGATTGGATATCTTGCCGGGGTCTATATTTCTATAGACCCCGCTCTGCTGGGGTCTATAAAAGAATGTGCGAGGGGAGATAACTCAAAATTGAATCTTTCTTCATAGCAACAATGATGGCGTCCGACACACACAAGCGTTCGAGGTTTACAAATCATTCACAGGATGAAATAGCCTATACTACAGGCAATCTAAAACGACAGCATATTCAACTAAACAGACACTGATGGGGCCTCTAGGGTGCTTATTGCAAAGTTGGTTCTCTTTTGCTGAAAAGATGTCCGGTAGGGGCTACTTTATATTTGGTAGCAGTCAAGTAATTATATATAAGGTGACAGTACCAGAATCAGTTTTTAAGTTCAAATAGCACCAGAAAACGTAATTCAAACTCAAATGTCCGTGTTTTGATAACGTTTTTAAAAAAGTGCACATGCGACAACTATGCATTCTGCTTTGGACTATAGGAATATATTCACACAATAGAAACACTTTTTGTCCTATAAATTAATTCAAGCCTTGATCGGATTTGGGTCTTGAGTCTATGTGACACTGTGACCTCACCAGACAGTCCAATGAGATCTAGTCTATCTATCTGACATTGTGACCTCACCAGACATTCCAATGAGATCTAGTTTATCCATGGGACACTGTGATCCTAACTCAACAGTCCAATAAGATCTAGTCTATCTATGTGACACTGTGGTCCTACCTCAACAGTTCTATGAGATCTAGTTTATCCATGGGACACTGTGATCCTGTCTCGACAGCTCAATGAGATCTAGTCTATCTATGTGACACTGTGGCCCTACCTCAATAGTTCAATGAGATCTAGTCTATCTATGTGTCACTGTGATCCTAACTCAACAGTCCAATAAGATCTAGTCTATCTATGTGACACTGTGGTCCTACCTCAACAGTCCAATGATATTTAGTCTATCTATGTGACACTGTGATCCTAACTCAACGGTTCAATGAGATCTAGTCTATCTATGTGCTAGTCTATCTATGTGACACTGTGGTCCTAAGTCAACAGTTCAATGATCTCTAGTCTATATGTGTGACACTGTGGCCCTATCTCAACAGTTCAATGAGATCTTGGCTATCTATGTGACACTGTGGTCCTACCTCAACAGTTCTATGAGATCTAGTTTATCCATGGGACACTGTGATCCTGTCTCGACAGCTCAATGAGATCTAGTCTATCTATGTGACACTGTGGCCCTACATCAACAGTTCAATGAGATCTAGTCTATCTATGTGCTAGTCTATCTATGTGACACTGTGGTCTTACCTCAACAGTCCAATGATATTTAGTCTATCTATGTGACACTGTGATCCTAACTCAACGGTTCAATGAGATCTAGTCTATCTATGTGTCACTGTGGTCCTATCTCAACAGTTCAATGAGATCTAGTCTATCTATGTGCTAGTCTATCTATGTGACACTGTGGTCTTACCTCAACAGTCCAATGATATTTAGTCTATCTATGTGACACTGTGATCCTAACTCAACGGTTCAATGAGATCTAGTCTATCTATGTGTCACTGTGATCCTAACTCAACAGTCCAATAAGATCTAGTCTATCTATGTGACACTGTGGTCCTACCTCAACAGTCCAATGATATTTAGTCTATCTATGTGACACTGTGATCCTACCTCACCAGTCCAATGAGATCTAGTCTATCTATATGACACTGTGATCCTAACTCAACAGGCAAAGGAGATCTAGTCTATCTATGTGACACTGTGGTCCTAAGTCAACAGTTCAATGATCTCTAGTCTATATATGGGGCACTGTGGCCCTATCTCAACAGTTCAATGAGATCTTGGCTATCTATGTGACACTGTGGTCCTAACTCAACAGTTCAATGATCTCTAGTCTATATATGTGACACTGTGGCCCTATCTCAACAGTTCAATGAGATCTAGGCTATCTATGTGACACTGTGGCCCTACCTCAACAGTTCAATTAGATCTAGTCTATCTATGTGACACTGTGGTCCTAACTCAACAGTTCAATGAGATCTAGTCTATGTATGTGACACTGTGGTCCTACCTCAACAGTTCAATGATCTCTAGTCTATATGTGTGACACTGTGGCCCTATCTCAACAGTTCAATGGTCCAATGAGATCTAGTCTATCTATGTGATACTGTGGTCCTAACTCAACAGTTCAATGATCTCTAGTCTATATATGGGACACTGTGGCCCTATCTCAACAGTTCAATGGTCCAATGAGATCTAGTCTATCTATGTGATACTGTGGTCCTAACTCAACAGTTCAATGAGATCTAGTCTATCTATGGGACACTGTGATCCTAACTCAACAGTCCAATGAGATCTAGTCTATGTATGTGACACTGTGGTCCTACCTCAACAGTTCAATGATATTTAGTCTATCTATGTGACACTGTGATCCTAACTCAACAGTTCAATGAGATCTAGTCTATCTATGGGACACTGTGATCCTAACTCAACAGTTCAATGAGATCTCGTCTATCTATGTGACACTGTGGCCCTACCTCAACGGTCCAATGAGATCTAGTCTATCTATGTGACACTGAGGCCCTACCTCAATAGTTCAATGAGATCTAGGCTATCTATGTGACACTGTGGTCCTAACTCAACAGTCCAATGAGATCTAGTCTATCTATGTGACACTGAGGCCCTACCTCAATAGTTCAATGAGATCTAGGCTATCTATGTGACACTGTGGTCCTAACTCAACGGTTCAATGAGATCTAGTCTATCTATGTGACACTGTGATCCTAACTCAACAGTTCAATGAGATCTAGTCTATCTATGTGACGCTGTGGCCCTACCTCAATAGTTCAATGAGATCTAGGCTATCTATGTGACACTGTGGTCCTAACTCAACAGTCCCATAAGATCTAGTCTATCTATGTGACACTGTGGTCCTAACTCAACAGTTCAATGAGATCTCGTCTATCTATGTGACACTGTGGCCCTACCTCAACAGTTCAATGAGATCTAGTCTATATATATGACACTGTGATCCTAACTCAACAGTCCAATGGGATCTAGTCTATGTATGTGACACTGTGGTCCTAACTCAACAGTTCAATGAGATCTAGTGGATCTTTGTGACACTGTGGCTTCACCAGACAGTTCAATGACCTTTATTATATGTTGATATCTATATACACTGTCACATATCAATTACTCCTTGTCTGAAAAGGCCAAAGCAATCAAGATTGTAATCTTACAACTGTTTTGTTCTATTTTTTCAAGCAACTTACTCTTTAGAGAGGTAAAACTTTTCTTATTTTATTGATAAAAAATAGAACGCTATCTCTGTGAGGATACAGAGACATTGACCTGCGTTGTGTTACAATATGGTACAATATATTCTCAGGTTAATTAGAACATTATTGAACTTAGGGGAACAATTACCTGTCTGTTTCTCAGGTATAGGAACACCTTCTGTGACTGAGGGGGACCTTGAATAATATCAGGGAAACATGCTGCTTCTTGGGACGTCATCTTATCAAAAGGCAGACGACTCTGAAAAGCTGCTCCTTCAAGACCTGGAAATTATATATCAATATAAGTGTGTTCAGTTTTAAAATATAAATAAAGTACTCTGATGAGTGATTACTATCAGAAAGTTTTGAACAAATTAAAAAATGTTTTGTTTTGAGTGGCAAGATCAACTTAGCAGGATATAAAACAATTACTGAGCATGTATACACACATTTATGTCACTTATTAATATATTTTTTCTATGGTAGCCTGTCATTGACAGGCATATATTCATGAAGTTAATCACACATAAAGATTTTGCATTACACATCAACTGTTCATTTTGCATATATCTGTTTTTATAAAAGCCTTTTAAAGTATAACCATATACAGTAAGGAATGATTCTTTGGAAATATAATCAAACTGTGTTAGAAGCTGTGAATTGTATAAGGTGAATCATGCTGATGTAAAATGTGCCAAAATTTCCCAAATAACATTTTAAAATGGATTTGTCCTTGTGTGCTATTTAATTAATAAGTATAGCATAGTTTAAAGTTAATCTTGTTACCAGTAGGATCATCATTTTCACTTTCATCAGCAGGTTCTGGTTCTGCCTCTACTTTGGGGGGTGGTGGTGGCGGTGCAGCTTTTTCAGGCTTGTCTTTCTTCTCCTCCTCAGAATAGTACTCGTCCTCCGAAATGTTGGCCAGCTGTTCATCCATCTCCTTGTACTCAACCTGTCCTCAAATAAAACTTACATTAATATATGCGTCTTAATTGTATTCAATGCACACAACGTCACAATGGAAGAAGACGTTGCAAAGTATTGCTACTTGAGGTCATAAATAGAAGATTGAACAATAAAATAATGTCCAGGGATTTACTCACTAGTGACTATAAACCTAAAGATGTTTACAAACTCCTAGCAGGCTTATCCAACGAGTCGGTAGTAGGGAAACCTATTTTGTGTGAAAATGTATTTTCAAACATCTTGTATTACTCTTCTGTATATGAATCATTACAACCACATGTTCGCTATTTCATGACGTCATTACAACCACATGTTCGCTATTTCATGACGTCATTACAGAAATTTATTATCATGGCAGTGGCAAAATTGTACATTTGTTATATTATTCTGGGGATCATATTGGCAGTGATGATCACAAAGTTGACACTACATGTGGAAAAGCCAAAGATCTTTTTTTTTTCAATGAAACTTTCATTTTTACAAACTGTTATGTAAATTTGGATTTTTTAGAACTGAAATTAACATATCATTGGACATCATATTTCCAATATTCACAGTTGACTATAGCTTCAGTATACAAGTTTTACCTCCTTGAAATATATATTATAGATCATTTCTAACTTATTATGGATTTTTAAGATTTCATAATAAGAAAATCATTATTGAAATTGTAGATTGAAAAAAAAAATAGTTTCACCGTTGAGATATAAAAACATGTATATATATATAGATCAGGTTTATGGTCTTGGTGTGGGGCCAGCATTTATATTCTTTTACTAGATTACCAGTATTATATAAGAATATACCAGTAGTGTAATTTCTTTTAATTTTATTATTTATAAAGTTATAATAACATGTACAATTAAAATATGACAATTCTGCTCAAATGCTGAAGAAAATGACGTTACAGAAGATTTTGAAAGTGAACAAAACACTGACAGTTGTGGTAAAATTGACAATTATTTGATTTTCATATAAATTAATTATTAATATATATTCTAAATTGTGTAGTTTACTATTCTGTATTCACAGATATCGCTACACATTAGTGTTTTATTTGCCTACTTTTACTGCCTGATACAGGCTGCTTCACCCTAAAAAAGTGGTTATTTTTTTCTGATAATCAGAAATATTTGACTTATTTCAATAAAAAAAAAAATCCCAATTTCCTTTAGGAACAGGCTTCAAATTAAGGATGAAAGAAAACACCATCAACATGGTTCAATCAATTAAGGACTCTTGCGTAATTATCTCCACTGACTTCAGCTCACCGACTCCTGCACAGGAAGCGCTAACAAGGTGGTGCAAATATCATTGAACTGTTAAGAGGTCTCTTAATATTGAACTCGAAAAAGATCAAAATAAATACAGATATATTCAGTTACGTCAAAAGACAACACCGATACACGACAACAGTCAAGTAAATAAATTCTGTAACGTGCTTTTACCCTGGCCCGTTTCCGTCTGCTTGTTCGCCTAGCTTCGCTGTCTTCGCCTTCATCTTCAACTCCTTGGCGTTTCTTTTCTTTGTCTTTCTCTTCCATTTCTTAATTATCTTAATAGAGGACGAAAAATTGGAAATATTGCAACGTTTTAGTCAGAAGACAATGCTGCTTCTGACGCCGACAACACAAAAGGCACACAAGCGGAAGTACCAAACCGTTGATAATAAGGAAACCGGCTACAGTGCGGACAAATACGGAATACATACTACCAAGTACCACAGGTAACCAGAGACATATAAAGCCAATGTAGTATATACGTCTCTGAGGCAACTAAAAAAACTATTAGAAATAACTTCTTAAAAGATTAATGACACAGTTTCAATTTTAACAGCAATAAATCCGGTTGTGTACCTTCAGTAATTTAACTGATTTTAAATACCTAAAAGGTTTTAAGACTCAATAGTCACTTTCACTTTTTTTGTGTCTTAAAAAACGAATCAGAATGAGAAATAACAAACAAGCGACACAGAAAGACAAACGTGACACTTCTTTTATTAATGTGACAGATTTTAATTGAACTAGCTTCGCGCTATAGGGATTTCCCTTTAGCTCAGCGGTAGAGCACCGACTGGGAAACTAGGATTCGCGGCTTCGATCCCAGGTGGAAGCACAATACGTCTACGTCGTGAGAGTGTGTGCATGGCTAAGAAGGATGTGTAGTCGTGTGTATGAAATACCACGGACTTAGATAACAAATCTAATTCCGTGGAAACACTAATGATTTTGGGGTAGTTCTAGGAAAGAAATGTACGCCAGTCAGCTTTATAGAGAGGAATCTGATAGGAGAGATGATTGGATTGTCTGGATTGTCGTAACTGTGGTGTCACGTGGAGGTCTTTATTGATGGTAATTTTATTGTGCTGATATTTTATACATCATAGTAAGACGGGCGTCCTTACGTCTATCAGCGAGGCTGGGCCAGTTTAGAGGTTGTAATGGTAGCGGTTAGTGACAAATCTTGCAGCTCTACGCTGTACCATACCAAGCTTGTTTATATCACCTTTTTGGTAAGGATCCCACACACAGCTAGCATATTCTAAAGATAAGAATACCATTTTCCGCCTGTTTTCCCAATCTGCCTATTTGTTCAGGTTGTCTTGTAAGGTATTAGATGTTACACTGGAGGAGACAGACGTATACACAATAGTGTACTCTTTTCCCTGTTACAAACGGTGTCCCTGGCCCTCCCTGTAGTGATAGGAAGTTATAACCTGTGGTGTTCGAGGGCGAACACGTTTAAAAATGGGGGAGTAGTACTAGTGTGGCAGACTTTAATTGTACATATCGGTGTTACACCGTAGATCGCCTTCTAGCTTCGCACTAGAGGGAATTTCCCTTTAGCTCAGTGGTAGGGTGACCTAGGAAGCCTATTATTATAGAAGAAACTCGTTTTAAACTTGTTGGGATGATTTTTCCAGTATTTGTTTAACCTGGTTTTAAATGAAAAAAACAGGGATGGGACATACACCACTTGGTCAGACAGACCATTCCAGTTATTTACAACTCTAAGCTTAAACGAGTGATCACAGTTTGCTTGTACACATCACCTTGTCTAGTATCTCTTTGTCCTCTGGTTGTTCTTGTTTCATTTTTAGGAAGTTTTCTTAGAAACCTTGGATATGTATACTTTCTTTTTCTGTGTAGATTATTACTGTTTTATTATTAATATATGTGATTATCTCCCTTTACTTGTAATATAATATGTTTTTGTTATTTTTACATATGTTTGTCGCAATAATAGCTCTCAAGAGCTAGTGTTCCTTGTTTACCTGTATGCGACGTTAAATAAAGTTTCTTGTATCTTATATGTTATCTATCCTATTTACTATTTTGAAAGCTTGCGCCATGTCTGACCTTAGTCTCATGTACTCCATAGTGGGTAGCCCCAGATCCTCAGGTCTCTCAGCATATGTTCGTAGTTTTATACCAGGGACCAGTTTAGTTGCCCTCCTCGGGACATTTTCTATAGATACTTGATTCTTTTTTAAGCATGGGTGCCCAGACCACTACGGAGGTCTCTAGGTATGGCATAACAAGATATTTATGAAGAGTTATGAACATGGCCTTACTTTTAGATCTGGAAGTCCTAAATATCATTCCTACTTTTCTGTTTGCTTTGGATACTGAAGGGTTAATATGTTCACAAAACTTTAGATTAGTGTCTGTAGTCACGCCAAGGTCCCTGTCCCTGTTGACAGTTTGTAGTTTATGTATTTCTTCCTGTTTGGTGATGTTGTAAGAAGTATCGCATTTAGCAGCTCATTGATGTAATTTCAAATGCTTGCACTTGTCAGAGTTTATCTCCATCCTCTATGTGCTCGTCCAGTTGTTCAATCGATGTCGATCTGCCTGTAGATGTTAGACCCTTTCTCCTGGACAGCACGATAGAACTTGGTATCATCAGCAAACATTTTTGTCAGGTTTTGAATGTAAGTCGTTTACATAGATTTACAATACTGGTCCCAGTACAGTACCCTGGGGTATTCCACTTATGACTTGACACGGGCTGTATGCACATTCGTTTATGATCACTTTCTGCCCTATCTCACTAAGAAATATGTTATTCATCCCAATATGGCACCGTTGATACAGTTTCCCGTTACTTTGTGCAACAATTTTCTGTGTACAATAGTGACAATAGTTACAATAGTTACAATAGTGACAATAGTTACAAAAGTTACGTTACAATAGTTACGTTACAATAGTTACAAATAGTAACTATTGTAACTATTGTAACTATTTGTAACTATTGTCACTATTGTAAATATTGTAACTATTGTCACTATTGTAACTATTATAACTATTTGTAACTATTGTGACTATTGTAACTATTGTCACTATTGAAACTATTGTAACTATTGTAACTATTATAACTATTATAACTATTTGTAACTATTGTGACTATTGTAACTATTGTCACTATTGTAAGTATTGTAACTATTTGTAACTATTGTAAAGTAACTATTGTAACGTAACTATTGTGACGTAACTTTTGTAACTATTGTAACTATAGTGACAATAGTTCCAATAGTTACAAATAGTTACAATAGTTACGATAGTTACAAATAGTTATAATAGTTACAATAGTTACAATAGTTACAATAGTTACAATAGTTACGTTACAATAGTTACAAATAGTTACAATAGTTACAAATAGTTATAATAGTTACAATAGTGACAATAGTTACAAATAGTTACAATAGTTACAATAGTTACAAATAGTTATAATAGTTACAATAGTTACAATAGTTACAAATAGTTACAATAGTTACAAAAGTTACGTTACAATAGTTACGTTACAATAGTTACAAATAGTTCCAATAGTTCCAATAGTTACATATAGTTACAATAGTTACAATAGTGACCATAGTTACAATAGTTACAAATAGTTATAATAGTTATAATAGTTACAATAGTTACAATAGTTACAAATAGTTACAATAGTTACAATAGTGTATGCTGAGTACGAGTGAAGACACCGACATACCTTGTATTTTTAAGTTGTATAGCGTTAGGGTTAGGGTATATTATACATTAGTAGTATAGCTATCTGCACAGTGGCTTCTCTGTTGGTTTGAGTAATTCTCATTATTCTATTTAGTTCCTGTAAATGATAATTATGGCACATCATGATATTTTTATGTTAATAATATACACAGTAATGCATAACGAGAATAGGTATATAAGCATGGACACGGAACTAAATATTTTACCATATCCAATAATAGTATCATTTATTTGTAATTAGTGATGATATATGTGTAATATGAACATAAATATGCATTAAAGTATATACACACTAGTTTTTTGTACCTAGAAAAAGATACTTTTAAAAAGTTGGATTTGATACTTATAATAATGATATGCACACAATATCACGACTATATCGTCATAATGCTATAGTTTATACAAATGAAAGTGTCATTATTTTTTACACAAAGAAAGAAAATGATATCATAAACATAACGGAGGCTTAGAATCCTGTCTAGATTAGCTTGCTGATCATAAAGTTTCCCTTCATTTGAGGAAGACAGGACGTACCGTAGTTGATCCCACCTGGAAATAAGATAATCTGTCAATTGGTTGTTTTAACATTTACTGTACCAAACATAGCACTGATGATTGAACCACACTCATAGATAAGATATTAGAAACATACAGAACGTATACAGAATGTAAATCAGACTGAAATGTTTGTATAGAAACAGAAAATAGCTTTTAATGAAGAAAGACAATCTGCTTAATTGATTTACGTTAATTTATATCACATGTTGGTATATAAGGTGAATGAGTCTTTTGTGTGCATTATACCTTTTTATCATATCAAAAGGACGGATAAAGATAACGCACGGACTCGTGCATTGGAATATCTTATTGAAAGGAAAGTCTAAAAATACATAGAACTTGATCACCAACTCGTGAAGTAAAAACTACAGGTAGTGTCAGCGTTTAGAAATATATTTGTCATTTTTCATAATGTTGTTTTTGAGCATTTACCAGATGTCAGCAGCATATTTAATGACAGCAACGTATGTTGTATAGGTACGGATGATGTATACAGGAATATGTATGTTGTATAGGTACGGATGATGTATACAGGAATATGTATGTTGTATAGGTACGGATGATGTATACAGGAATATGTATGTTGTATAGGTAAGGATGATGTATACAGGAATATGTATGTTGTATAGGTAAGGATGATGTATACAGGAATATGTATGTTGTATAGGTAAGGATGATGTATACAGGAATATGTATGTTGTATAGGTAAGGATGATGTATACAGGAATATGTATGTTGTATAGGTAAGGATGATGTATACAGGAATATGTATGTTGTATAGGTAAGGATGATGTATACAGGAATATGTATGTTGTATAGGTAAGGATGATGTATACAGGAATATGTATGTTGTATAGGTAAGGATGATGTATACAGGAATATGTATGTTGTATAGGTAAGGATGATGTATACAGGAATATGTATGTTGTATAGGTAAGGATGATGTATACAGGAATATGTATGTTGTATAGGTAAGGATGATGTATACAGGAATATGTATGTTGTATAGGTAAGGATGATGTATACAGGAATATGTATGTTGTATAGGTAAGGATGATGTATACAGGAATATGTATGTTGTATAGGTAA